AGAGCGAGTGAGAGAGAAAGAAAGAGAGAGAGAGAGCGAGTGAGAGAGAAAGAAAGCAAGAGAGAGCGAGAGAGAGAGATAGAGTGCGCGTGAAAGAGCGATAAAGAGATGTAGACAGATATAAGAATTCACACCTAAGCCAATAAACATGCGCGCACGCATGCACACACAGAAAGGCGAAGGATAAGAGCGGGGAAAAGAAAAGGAGTGTGAGAGAGAGAAGGAAGCGAAAGGAGAAGGAGACAGAGAGAAGATGGGACGGCAGCGGGAGAGAGAGAGAGAGAGAGAGAGAGAGAGAGAGAGAGAGAGAGAGGAAGGCAGAGAGAAGATAGGAGAAAGTAGGGCAGAGAAAAGAGAGGAGAAAGAGGAAGGCAGAGAAGAGAGAGAGGGGACGGCAGAGAGCAGAGAGAGAAAGGTAGAGAGGAGAGGGAGGGAGGCAGCGAGGCGAGCAGGAGGTAAGGCAGATAAGAGAGAGAGAAGAAGGCAAGGAGGAGAGCGAGTAACGCAGAGAGGAGAGAGAGGAAGGGATAGGGAGAGAGCGAGAGAAGCACGAACGCAAACAAGTTTGGGTTTAAAAACTTAAATCTAACCTAATTCTTTATTGAATTGTATGTTATTGTGTATCAGACAAAACGAGCATTTATCTCTTTAAGCCCCGGACACACTAGGCGATTTTCACCGGCGATTGAGTCGCCCGACTCAAATCGATTGAAATCGATTGAATCGATTGAATCGATTGAAATCGATTGAAATCGATTGAAATCGATCGATTGAAATCGCCGGTGAAAATTGCCTAGTGTGTCCAGTGAGTCGCCGGCGATTTTAGAGTCGGGCGACAATCAAACATGTTTGATAATTGTAAGTACCCTTTTCATGCGTTATAGTTGCATAAAGATGCGTGGTTATAGTATTAAAAATACTTGGCGATAGGGTATATCTATATAGGGGTATATCTATATAGGGGTATATCTATATATGGGTTTATCTATATAGGGGTATATTTATATAGTATATCTAGGGTATAGCGACCGGTAAAGTCTATATGTCAATCAGTCTCTCTTGATTCATTCTCCGCTTTACTTGTCTAAGGTCTCAATAAACACAATGAATGGATATATACGCGTCAAAGTTATTTTCAGGGTCAATCGCCAGACTGGAAGACAAGGAGAATTATCACGTTTTCGAGGCAGCGTCGTGCAACTATTGAGTGGTTACCGGTCTCCAGTTGAACATACCAAGAGGTGCACAGAGATATACGTATATAACGTTTATAATATATATAATTATTGCGCATTATACAAAAACTATTTATCTCTTTAACCTGCCAGCCTGATTAGTTCTCCGCTTTTCGTTTTGCAAGTTCATATATACCAGATATTAAATTCGTGCAAGTCACATTTCTAGTGCCAATCACGTCGCTGAAGGACACTGTGAATCAACATGGTTTCGAGTCAACGTCGTGCACCGCTCGCTAGTTGAGCATACCAAAAAGTTTATTTTTAACGTAGGTTTTATTTTTTATATTATAGCACACATGTTATGAATCTATGTTATGAATCGGCTGATGTTTTCTAGCATTACCGATATGTTTCTGGTACTAGATTGTGTGACATAGTGTATATGTGGTATATATTTAACGTACGCTGACTATATTGGGAGAGGTTATATCGGTTATTGTGGGGATTATAGTGAGAAAGAAAGGAAGCGCTAATTAATTTGGACTAGAATATTCGGTGAATGTATTTACAAACGAAATTTTAGAACTATTTTGTTCGTAACTCGGCCCTCCCCTTGTAGAGTATCTTGACCGGCTACTTGTATAAGGTGATCATATTAGAGAAGATGGGAGAGGGAAGAGAGAATGAGGGAGAGAGCGAGAGACGGTGCGAGGGCGAGCGAGCGACAGAGAGGTGAGAAAGCGAGAGACGGTGCGAGGGCGAACGAGCGACAGAAAAGTGAGAAAGCGAGAGCGAACGAGCGAGCGAGAGAGGGGGTAAGATAGATAGACATGCAGAAAGAGAGAGAGAGCGAGAGAGAGAGAGAGAAGAGAGAGAGAGAGAGAGAGAGAAGGAGAGAGAGAGAGAGAGAGAGAGAGAGAGAGAGAGAGAGAGAGAGAGAGAGAGAGAGAGGGAGAGGGAGAGAGAGAGAGAGAGAGAGAGCATGAGAGACAC